TTTTGGATGTAACACGTCTTCTGATTGGCTGAAAGTGTTTTGTCTATCAGCTCATAGACATAATTATGTCATGTGACCGCGACGTCATCAACGTTTTTATCATGATTTACTCCTTTTTAGAATTATAAGAAATGACTTTAATATTTTTTCTGTCTATTCGAATTAACATAAATAAAATGCTTCGCTGGGCGCAGCTTGATACGACCGCAGAGGTCGAACCCTGAACAGTTGGGGCAAGTATGGACACAACATTCAAGCTTGATACAGCTCTGAATTTGGATTGTGATTAAATATTTGACACAGCATAGGTTTCTGACACAGAAAGAATGTGGTCTAAGAACTTGAATTTTTTTTAATTTAACTATTATGGTCCAATGTCCAAAATCAAAATACATGGTTAGATTCAGCATATCAAAGAACCCCATATATTCAATTTTTGTTGAAATCAAACAAAGTTTAATTTTGGACCCCAACTTGGACAAACTTGAAAACTGGGCCCATAATCAAAAATCTAAACACATGTTTAGATTCAGCATATCAAAGTACCCCAAGAATTCAATTTTTGTTAAAATCAAACTAAGTTTAATTTTGGACCCTTTGGACCTTAATGTAGACCAATTTAAAAAACGGGACCCAAAATTGAAAATCTAAATACACGGTTAGATTCTGAATATCAAAGAACCCCAATAATTCAATTTTTGATGAAATCAAACAAAGTTTAATTTTGGACCCTTTTGACCTCAATATGAACCAATTTGATAGCAGGGCCCACAAATAAAAAATCTAAATACATGGTTAGATTCAGCATATCAAAGAACCCCATATATTCAATTTTTGTTGAAATAAAAAAAGTTTAATTTTGGACCCCAACTTGGACCAACTTGAAAACTGGGCCCATAATCAAAATTCTTAACACATGTTAAGATTCAGCATATCAAAGTACCCCAAGAATTATATTTTGTTAAAATCAAACTAAGTTTAATTTTGGACCCTTTGGACCTTAATGTAGACCAATTTAAAAAACGGGACCCAAAATTAAAAATCTAAAAACACGGTTAGATTTGGCATATCAAAGAACCCCCAATAATTCAATTTTTGATGAAATCAAACAAAGTTTAATTTTGGACCCTTTTGACCTCAATATGAACCAATTTGATAGCGGGCCCACAAATAAAAAATCTAAATACATGGTTAGATTCAGCATATCAAAGAACCCCATATATTGGATTTTTGTTGAAATCAAACAAAGTTTAATTTTGGACCCCAATTTGGACCAACTTGAAAACTGGGCCAAAAATCTAAATACATGTTTAGATTCAGCATATCAAAGAAACTCCATATATTCAATTTTTGTTGAAATCAAACAAAGTTTAATTTTGGACCCCAACTTGGACCAACTTGAAAACTGGGCCCATAATCAATAAAATGCTCCGCAGGGCGCAGCTTGATACGACCGTAGAGGTCGAACCCTGAACAGTTGGGGCAAGTATGGACACAACATTCAAGCTTGATACAGCTTTGCATTTGGATTGTGATTAAATATTTGACACAGCATAGGTTTCTGACACAGAATGAATGTGGTCTAAGAACTTAAAAATTTTAAATTGGACATTCACCTATTATGGTCCAATATCCAAAATCTAAATACATGATTAGATTCAGCATATCAAAGAACCCCAAGAATTCAATTTTTGATGAATTCAAACAAAGTTTAATTTTGGACCCTTTTGACCTCAATGTGGACAAAGTTGATAACGGCGCCCAAAAATCAAAAATCTAAATACATGGTTAGATTCAGCATATCAAAGAACCCCATAAATTCAATTTTTGTTGAAATCAAACAAAGTTTAATTTTGGACCCCGATTTGGACCAACTTGAAAACTGGGCCCATAATCAAAAATCTAAATACATGTTTAGATTCAGCATATCAAAGAACCCTAAGAATTCAATTTTTGATAAAATCAAACTAAGTTAAATTTTGGACCCTTTGGACCTTAATGTAGACCAATTTGAAAACAGAACCAAAAATTAAGAATCTAAATACACAGTTAGATTCGGCATATCAAAGAACCCCAATAATTCAATTTTTGATGAAATCAAACAAAGTTTAATTTTGGACCCTTTGGACCTCAATGTGGACCAATTTAAAAACGGGGCCCAAAATCCAAAATCTAAATACACGGTTAGATTCAGCATATTAAAGAACCCAAAGAATTCAAGAATAAAACCCCATTGAAATTGGTCAAGAAATAAGCAATTTATATGAAGTATCTTCTTTTGCACAATACTGTACGATTAAATATTTCTTGCTATTGCGCAATACTGTACAATTAACAATTTCTTGCTATTGCGCAATATTGTGCTATTGGATATTTCTTGCTATTGCGCAATGGAAGATTTCTTGCTATTGCGCAATACTGTGCAATTGAAGATTTCTTGCTATTGTGCAATACTGTGCAATTGAAAATTTCTTGCTATTGCACAATACTTATTATATAATAATTTACACATCCTGTTTGGTGTGTATCTCCTACCATATCAATATTATTTGCTTTTAAACATAAATCAGAAATAACCAACTTAAAATGGAAAATTTTAAAAGAAAAAAAAAAAAGGAAACCCCAACCCCCCCAAATTTTTTGAACCCCCTTATGATTCATCACCCCCAAACTCAATCCCAGCCTTCCCTTTGTGATATGGAACATTGTAGTACAATTTCAGAAAGATCCATACACTTACACACAAGTTATTGTCCTGAAACTAGAAAAATGCTTGTTTTTTGCCCCTTTTTTGCCCCTAATTCCTAAAATATTGAGGCAATTACCCCCATCATCAATCCCAGCCTTCCCTTTGTGGTATGGTACCTTGCAGTACAATTTCAGAGAGATCCATACACTTGAACACAAGTTATTGTCTGGAAACTAAAAAAATGCTTATTTTTGGCCCCTTTTTGGCCCCCAATTCCTAAACGTTTCGGCAATTACCCCCAAACTCAATTCCACCTTTCCCTTTGTGATATGGAACCTTGTAGTACAATTTCAGAAAGATCCATACACTCACACAAGTTATTGTCCTGAAACTAGAAAAATGCTTGTTTTTTGCCCCTTTTTTTGCCCCTAATTCCTAAAAATTTGAGGCAATTACCCCCAAACTCAATCCCAGCATTCCTTTTGCGATATGGAACCTTGTGGTACAATGTCAGAGAGATCCATACACTAACACACAAGTTATGTCTGGAAGTTACAAAAAATGCTTATTTTTGGCCCCTTTTTGGCCCCTAATTCCTTTACTGTTGGTACCATAACCCCAAAAATCAATCCCAACCTTCCTTTTGTGGTATTGAACCTTGTGGTAAAATTTCATAGAGATCCATTCACTTAAACTAAAGTAAGAGTGCGAAAACCAATGTGTCTTCGGACGACGACGACAACAACGACGACGACGACGACGACGACGCCAACGTCATACCAATATACGACCACAAAAATTTGTTTGCTGTCGTATAAAAATCTAAACACATGTTTAGATTCAGCATATCAAAGAACCCCAAGAATTCAATTTTTGTTAAAATCAAACTAAGTTTAATTTTGGACCCTTTGGACCTTAATGTAGACCAATTTAAATAAAATGCTTCGCTGGGCGCAGCTTGATACGACCGCAGAGGTCGAACCCTGAACAGTTGGGGCAAGTATGGACACAACATTCAAGCTTGATACAGCACTGAATTTGGATTGTGATTAAATATTTGACACAGCATAGGTTTCTGACACAGAAAGAATGTGGTCTAAGAACTTCAATTTTTTTAATTTACCTATTATGGTCCAATGTCCAAAATCAAAATACATGGTTAGATTCAGCATATCAAAGAACCCCATATATTCAATTTTTGTTGAAATCAAACAAAGTATAATTTTGGACCCCAACTTGGACAAACTTGAAAACTGGGCCCATAATCAAAAATCTAAACACATGTTTAGATTCAGCATATCAAAGTACCCCAAGAATTCAATTTTTGTTAAAATCAAACTAAGTTTAATTTTGGACCCTTTGGACCTTAATGTAGACAATTTAAAAAAGGGACCCAAAATTAAAAATCTAAAAACACGGTTAGATTTGGCATATCAAAGAACCCCAATAATTCAATTTTTGATGAAATCAAACAAAGTTTAATTTTGGACCCTTTTGACCTCAATATGAACCAATTTGATAGCGGGCCCACAAATAAAAAATCTAAATACATGGTAAGATTCAGCATATCAAAGAACCCCATATATTCAATTTTTGTTGAAATCAAACAAAGTTTAATTTTGGACCCCAATTTGGACCAACTTGAAAACTGGGCCAAAAATCTAAAAACATGTTTAGATTCAGCATATCAAAGAACCCCATATATTCAATTTTTGTTGAAATCAAACAAAGTTTAATTTTGGACCCCAACTTGGACCAACTTGAAAACTGGGCCCATAATCAAAAATCTAAACACATGTTAAGATTCAGCATATCAAAGAACCCCAAAAATTCAATTTTTGTTAAAATCAAACTAAGTTTAATTTTGGACCCTTTAGACCTTAATGTAGACCAATTTAAAAAACGGGACCCAAAATTAAAAATCTAAATACACGGTTAGATTTGGCATATCAAAGAACCCCAATAATTCAATTTTTGATGAAATCAAACAAAGTTTAATTTTGGACCCTTTTGACCTCAATATGAACCAATTTGATAACGGGGTCCACAAATAAAAAATCTAAATACATGGTTAGATTCAGCATATCAAAGAACCCCATATATTCAATTTTTGTTGAAATCAAACAAAGTTTAATTTTGGACCCCAATTTGGACCAACTTGAAAACTGGGCCAAAAATCAAAAATCTAAATACATGTTTAGATTCAGCATATCAAAGAACCCCATATATTCAATTTTTGTTAAAATCAAACAAAGTTTAATTTTGGACCCTTTGGACCTTAATGTAGACCAATTTGAAAACTGGATCCAAAATTAACAAGAGTGGACACGCTGAAATGTCTCGCCTTCTTTACTAACCATTGATATTATGTTGATAGTCCTAAATGAAAGCTTTACTACAACTATTACATAAACTTAACATGATCCAAGAAAATGAAGTCAAGGTCATATAAACCAAACAAGAAATACATGTACACCTTACAATCATTCAATACACTAAATATAGTTGACCTATTGCTTATAGTTTCTAAGAAACAGACTTAACCAAGAAAACTAAACATTGACCAATGAATCGTGAAAATGAGGTCAAAGTCAGATGAACCATGCCAGGCAGACATGAACAGCTTACAATCCTTCCATACAACAAATATAGCTGACCTATTGCTTATAGTTTAAGAAAAACAGACTGAAACACATAAACTTAACACTGAGCAATGAACTGTGAAAATGAGGTCAAGGTCAAATAAAACCTGCGAGACTGACATGTACATCATAGAATATTTCCATACACCAAATATAGTTGACTTATTGCATAATAGTATAAGAAAAAAGACCAAAACTCAAAAACTTAACTTTGACCACTGAACCATGAAAATGAGGTCAAAGTCAGATGACACCTGCCAGTTGGACATGTACACCTTACAATCATTCCATACACCAAATATAGTAGACCTATTGGATAAAGTATAAGAAAAACGGACCAAAACACAAAAACTTAACTATAACCACTGAACCATGAAAATGAGGTCAAGGTCAGATGACACCTGCCAGTTGGACATGTACACCTTACAATCATTCCATACACCAAATATAATAGACCTATTGCATACAGTATAAGAAAAACAGACCAAAACACAAAAACTTAACTATAACCACTGAACCATGAAAATGAGGTCAAGGTCAGATGACACCTGCCAGTTGGACATGTACACCTTACAATCATTCCATACACCAAATATAATAGACCTATTGCATACAGTATAAGAAAAACAGACCAAAACACAAAAACTTAACTATAACCACTGAACCATGAAAATGAGGTCAAGGTCAGATGACACCTGCCAGTTGGACATGTACACCTTACAATCATTCCATACACCAAACATAATAGACCTATTGCATACAGTATAAGAAAAACAGACCAAAACACAAAAACTTAACTATAACCACTGAACCATGAAAATGAGGTCAAGGTCAGATGACACCTGCCAGTTGGACATGTACACCTTACAGTCCTTCCATACACCAAATATACTAGACCTATTGCTTATAGTATCTGAGATATGGACTTGACCACCAAAACTTAACCTTGTTCACTGATCCATGAAATGAGGTCGAGGTCAAGTGAAAACTGTCTGACAGGCATGAGGACCTTGCAAGGTACGCACATACTAAATATAGTTATCCTATTACTTATAATAAGAGAGAATTTAACATTACAAATAATCTGAACTTTTTTTTCAAGTAGTCACTGAACCATGAAAATGAGGTCAAGGAAATTGGACATGTGACTGACGGAAACTTCGTAACATGAGGCATCCATATACAAAGTATGAAGCATCCAGGTCTTCCACCTTCTAAAATATAAAGCTTTTAAGAAGTTAGCTAACGCCGCCGCCGCCGCCGGATCGCTATCCCTATGTCGAGCTTTCTGCGACAAAAGTCGCAGGCTCGACAAAAATCTAAATACACAGTTAGATTCGGCATAACAAATAAATAAATGTGGTCAAAGATTTTACAAATCTAATGCGCCATACTGTGCAATTAAAGATTACTTCTTGAAATTTTTCAATATTTGAAATTTGAAAAAAAAAAATAATATTTGAAGAATAATTCTTTTTAATTTCTGAAATCTGAAATGAGAAAAAATTGACCCCCCACAATTTCTTTTTACCCCCCCCCCCCTTTTTTCCCCCCAAACCATAATTACCCATTTAAATTTACCATAGTGCTAACTTAATCTATTTTATAATAGAATTTAAAATATAGTGTCAAATCTTTCATATGGATTTTTTTGTAAAAAAAAAAGATGCAACATTTGCAGATATTTTTACTGGTCTTCCTTTATAAATATGCATTTCTTTAAACATAATTTAAAAGCAGTGTAAGGGAAGTAACAAAAATGTTGTATTTGGATTACCTCCCTTACACTGTTTTAAATTATCTTAATTGTTCATTTACCATTACTTTATACATAATTTAAAAGCAGTGTAAGGGAGATAATTTCAATGATGTATTTGATTTATCTCCCTTACACTGCTTTAAATTATGTTTTGTACTAAAGTATTTGTCCATTAACCAGGACAACCTTGTTTTTCCCCCTTTTTTGCCCCTAATTCTTAAACGGTTTGAGCCATAACCCCCCAAAGCAAATCCTTACCATCCCTTTGTGGTATGGAAACTTGTAGTACAATTTCAGAGAGATCCATACACCGTTCCACAGTTATTGTCTGGAAACTAGAAAATGCTTATTTTTGGCCCCTAATTCCTTAACTGTTGGTACCATAACCCCCAAAATCAATCCCCACCTTACTTTTGTTGTATTGAACCTTATGGTAAAATTTCATAGAGATCCATTCACTTAAACTAAAGTTAGAGTGCGAAAACTAATGCGTATTCGGACGACGACGCCGGACGACGACGACGACGACGACGACGACGCCAACGTCATACCAATATACGACCACAAAAATTTTTTTGCGGTCGTATGAAAACAGGACCCAAAATTAAAAATCTAAATACACGGTTAGATTTGGAATATCAAAGAACCCCATAAATTCAATTTTTGATGAAATCAAACAAAGTTTTATTTTGGACCCTTTTGACCTCAATATGAACCAATTTGATAGTGGGGTCCACAAATAAAAAATCTAAATACATGGTTAGATTCAGCATATCAAAGAACCCCATATAATTAATTTTTGTTGAAATCAAACAAAGTTAAATTTTTGACCCTAATTTGGACTAACTTGAAAACTTGGCCAAAAATCAAAAATCTAAATACATGGTTAGATTCAGCATATCAAAGAACCCCATATATTCAATTTTTGTTAAAATCAAACAAAGTTTAATTTTGGACCCTTTGGACCTTAATGTAGACCAAAATACACGGTTAGATTCGGCATAACAAATAAATAAATGTGGTCAAAGATTTTACAAATCTAATGCGCCATACTGTGCAATTAAAGATTACTTCTTGAAATTTTTCAATATTTGAAATTTGAAAAAAAAATAATATTTGAAGAATAATTCTTTTTAATTTCTGAAATCTGAAATGAGAAAAAATTGACCCCCACAATTTCTTTTTACCCCCCCCCCCCCCCCCCTTTTTTTTCCCCAAAAAATTCTTTCCCTCAAGATATGGTCATAATCTCAATTCAAATTTCCAATGGAGTTCGCAACCATAATTACCCATTTAAATTTACCATAGTGCTAACTTAATCTATTTTATAATAGAATTTAAAATAAAGTGTCAAATCTTTCATATGGATTTTTTTGTAAAAAAAAAAGATGCAACATTTGCAGATATTTTTACTGGTCTTCCTTTATAAATATGCATTTCTTTAAACGTAATTTAAAAGCAGTGTAAGGGAAGTAACCAAAACGTTGTATTTGGATTACCTCCCTTACACTGTTTTAAATTATCTTAATTGTTCATTAACCATTACTTTATACATAATTTGAAAGCAGTGTTAGGGAGATAATTTCAATGATGTATTTGATTTATCTCCCTTACACTGCTTTAAATTATGTTTTGTACTAAAGTATTTGTCCATTAACCAGGACAACCTTGTTTTTCCCCCTTTTTTGCCCGTAATTCCTAAACGGTTTGAGCCATAACCCCCCAAAGCAAATCCTAACCATCCCTTTGTGGTATGGAAACTTGTAGTATAATTTCAGAGAGATCCATACACCGTTCCACAGTTATTGTCTGGAAACTAGAAAATGCTTATTTTTGACCCCTTTGTGGCCCCTAATTCCTTAACTGTTGGTACCATAACCCCCAAAATCAATCCCCACTTTCCTTTTGTGGTATTGAACATTATGGTAAAATTTCAAAGAGATCCATTCACTTAAACTAAAGTTAGAGTGCGAAAACCAATGTGTCTTCGGACGACGACGACGCCAAAATTTTTTGCGGTCGTATAAAAATGTGGTGCACCATATTTTTTATGTTATTTCTTCATAGACAGAAAAAATATTACAGTCATTCCTTGAATAGACTCTTCACCTAATTTGTGTTCAAAGGAGTGAAACGTTCAAAACCTTGAGGAATCATTTTAAGTGACATTTGCTACCAAATAAACCATTGTTAAACTTGCATTTAGAAGCACAAAACAGCACGGGCGCAAGTCTCCTTTTGTTTATTATGACATAGAAGGAATGTTATTTTCATGCAAAGACAGTTCCATTTTTATTCTTTCCAAATAATCAGCATGCCTGTAATCGTGCAAGTTTTTTTCCTCAACAATACGCATTTGTTTTTTTAAAGGGGCATTAGCTACGAGGTATAAAAAAAATAAATATGATATTTTTTGTTCAATCATAAATGAAAGTGACATAGTGAAATAATAATTCGCTTTTAGCAGCTAGTTTGGTTCAATTTTGTCAAAATAAGCTAAGAAACATAGCTAATGAATTATTCACTTGCAAGTGAATAATTCGACCTCATTGAATCCGTATTCATGTGACCTTCAATTTAATCCCTTTGCTAGAGATTGGTTACGCATGAATTAGGCGTGTTCAGTTATTAAAGGAAAAGTGGTCAACATTGAAAGTGAAACAAGGGTAAACCGTTTGATTGACTAATTCGATCCACAAAAACTCATTCTTATACAGGTAAAAGCGACGATTAATATATAGTTTTAACCTATAATACGAAACCAAACAGACCTAGACAAATCCAATTGCACGAGTTCGCTGTCTATTTATATCTATATGTATGTTTATATCGGGTTATATGACCGTCTGCAGTCTTCGGAGGTCACCTCGATGGTTAATTAGATGGCGTATAAACTAAAATACACACGAAATGCTGATACATATTATCGAGGCCATGCACTGTAAATTGTTCATTTTAGACTTTTTATAATTTGGATATACGTTTTTGTAGGTTATGAATCAAATATGAGAATTTGAGTCAAGTCGGACAGTGAACATGAATTTGTCAGCTAATGCCCCTTTAATAAAAAATAAATGGGGAATGTGTCCCATGGACACAGATGATGCCCCCGCTTGCATATCATATAAAGTTATAAAATAAAGGGACATAACTGAAGAACAGTAAAAGTGAAGTTTTTCAAATTTGGAAGATACTATCCAAAATATAGAGTATCATGAGTTTGTAGCTTGATGTAATTATTATCTTTATTATAATTTTTTTTTTTAGTTAAAACATTCATTTATTTTTCTTGTTTCTAGATTATGCATTTGTTTATTTTATTTTCAATATCACATTATTTTTTTTTTCTACTTAGATAAATACATTAATGTCTAATAATGAAATTGTTAGTCTTGTATTATTTTTAATTTTAGTTTCTTGTGTACAATTTGGAGTTTAGTATGGCGTTCATTATCACTGAACTAGTATATATATTTGTTTAGGGGCCAGCTGAAGGACGCCTCCGGGTGCGGGAATTTCTCGCTGCATTGAAGACCTGTTGGTGGCCTTCTGCTGTTGTCTGTTCTGTGGTCGGGTTGTTGTCTCTTTGACACATTCCCCATTTCCATTCTCAATTTTATTAATGCCTGTTTATTTCAGGTATGGGTAATTATCAAGAAGCACATCATGAGTGAGGACACCCTTGAAGGTTTCTGTTGTGGTGTTTTTGGTTATATCAGAGGATAATTTGTTCCAGTCTTAAATGATTTGACAAAAGAAAGAAAATTTGTAGGCGTCTTTATTGCATTGTATTTGTCTTTAGTAGGCTTTATGGTAAGATCTTGTCGTAGACCGACTATGATGTCATAAATTTTGTAATCAATGGCAATATTTTCATGAACTTGTGGAACATTCTTAATCTAGTCCTTTGACCGTGTTCTTGGAGAGTTTGCCAATTCATGGTGTTGTGATGTCTGTTGCATACCTTGCCGCCCGTCTCTACTTTTTGTAATAATCTTATATTTTCATTTGTATATGGGTCCCATACAGTACAACAGTATTCTAATTTAGGTCTTATGCTCTTTCTTTAATTGTCTGTTATTGAACTTTTGAGATTTCTTCTGATGAAAATGAAATGTAATTATTTTTTAGCTTTGGTGGCAATTTGTTGAATGTGGGTGTTCCATTTTAGATCTGTTATCATTGATATACCCAAGTATTTTGCATGTTGAAGTATAAGTGGATGGGATTTCTCTGGGTTGTTATATTCATTACTAGTATATTGCATTTGTCTGGGTGGAAAGATAAGGCATCATAAGCCAGTCTTGTTCCCATTTCATAACAACTTTGATATCACAATTCTGTGATAGAACAGATTTGAACAATATTTAAAGCCAGGCCTGTTAAATGACTCCTGTTTCTCTTTTGGAGGTCGTTTGACCATGATTGAAGCTGTGGTGACAAATATGACCCTGTGAGTCAAAATTTTGAACTCAAACTGAGGAAAATAATCTACTAACATTAACTCAAGTTGTTGAACACAAACCATTTTTAAATTAGCAGCGGGTACATTTAGACAGAAAAGTGTAAACCACATTACATCCAACTTATTTTGAGAGGGTACAAAAATTAACTCTAAAGAGTGAATCACCTGAGGTCTTAATGTGATTTTTCCTTACTGAGGAACAAACTTCCAATACACTTGATGATATACACATTATTCAACAGACCTTTAACATTAGTTAGTAATGCTAATGGACATGGTCGAATCCAGTTGCAGTCAAAAACTATCAGAAGACAGAAGAAGTTGAACAACAGTTTTCACAAATAATAAATGTCAGTTTTGACTGAAGGATTTTTTTTTCTGTGTGTCAATTGGAAAAAATTGCATGCATACTCTGGACGAAAATATTACTTTTGAAAAATATGTAGTGCACATACTGAAATGTTTCGTCTGCTTTACTTATCATGATTGAATTCATGTTGCAAGTCTTAAGAAAAATTTGTAAGGGTTCCGCAGAACCCAGTGTCTCGCCTACTTTTGCATGTTAATCGAAGGCTCAACAAAAATGAGGAAAAAAAATTATAAGTAAGAAGCTTCAGTCCAAGTTTGGTAAACATCCAGGATAGTTTATGAATCTAATAAATGTTTTAAATCTTTAACTGCAGACTGTATGTAATGTTAACTGGAAGAAAAACTAAGTCCATTTATAAGTAAAATACGGATCAACAGGTACAAAATTTTAACAAAATTTTCTTCTAGATACTAGCTTTTGATCATAAACAAGCTTCTGACCAAGTTTGGTACAAATCCAGGATAGTTTAAGAAAGTTATTAACATTTTAAAAACTTTAACCACAGAGTGAATGTTATGTTTCCTGGCAGAAAAACTAAGTCCATTTATAAGTAAAATACGGAAAAACAGATTTATTTTTTTTTCACAAAATTTAATTCTGGATACTATCTTATGATCATAAACAAGCTACTGTCCAAGTTTGGTAGAAATCCAGGATAGTTTAAGAAAGTAATTTAAATTTCAAAAACTTTAACCACAGAGTGAATATTTGTGGAATCCTCCAAAATGTAGGATTGCTATGTCTAGCTTTTTCGACAAAAGTCGAAGGCTCGACAAAAATGATTATAGAACGAGTATCACGTCTGACAGACAAGTAGACCTTGCAAGAATCCCATATACCAAAGAGTTACCATTTTATTCAGAAGTGTGAAAAATTCACATGAAAAACATTCAACCACGAACACAAGGTTAACGGGCAAAGGACATATGAAAAATGAATTCAATGTCACATAACACATCAGTATACAAGGTCTTCCACCCCTGAAATATACAGCTATATAAAAATATTTATGCCATCCCCTCATTGTAATCCATACTCCTTGCATGAGAAAGTAAAAATGAGATATTTATTATTTTAGGGGTAAGTGAGTAATTGTAAACCTGCATTCAATTTGCATGCAAAAGGTATGTCATGTTCTTTGTAAACGATGTTATTTGACCCTCTCTGGCTAATGTTGTCTCCAATGATGGTAGTGTAAATTAAATAAACAATTTTAAGGGTTATTCTTTTTAATGTATTCATGACGTGTTGCTTTACAACAATGACTAATTAAAATGTCCATGATCTGCAGCAATGATAAAATATAAAAAAAAAAAAAAAAAAAAACAAACAAATTAAAATATTTATGATTTGAGGTTAATACATTTTTGAAATGAAATCTTCTCCTTTTTAAAGATCATCAATCCTCCCAGTGTTACATCAATGTATACTAAAATGACAATGGTGATGAGATATTTGATCTAGTTCATTGTGGTCCATAACAATACATGATGACAAAACAATTATGACAATAAAAAAACAATTCTGTACAAAATGTCTACATCTAAACAAATCAACACCAGTATTCTTCAGTATTGTCCTGAAAATTCCTTTACACTGAAAAAGAAAACAAATATAATTTTGATGTATTTTAAACTATATGATGAAACGTTATTGTTGTCCACTACAAATCTTTTTTCACCAGTAACTTCATCTGTCCACTAATTTAAAGCAACAAGTATAACAAAGTCAATCATAGAAAATTTCTTTTTAATTGTAAATTGTACTGCTTGAAGAACATAATAACAACCTGATGCCAGTGTCAAAATGATCAATATACAACTTACCTTCCCAACAATAAATCACACATGTATCCCTTAAAGAAAAACACCTAACATCTTTTTGAATTTTTTGAATTTTCTAGAATTTTTATAACAATTTCAACCGATGTACCATCAATCATAAAGTCTTTTGCAAGCAGACCATCTAAAAGCTAATTTTATATCATTTGGCTTGTTTACAATAATCGTGAACCTTGTTTCTGTCTTTGTCAAGCAGACTATCTAGAAGCCAGTTACTAATTCTTCATCATGCAAACCATCTAGAAGCCAATTTATGTGCTTTGGCATACACAATCTCTAGTGGCCTCTCTGATTATAAGACATGCAGAGACCACTCCATCAGCCTTTGGAACTATCTTGAAGCTATCATGCTGTTATTAAGCCATGCCAGATGTTAATCATGCAGGTAGATCTCAGTGGTTAGTAGCAAGCTGTTAGATGCAGACCCAGTCATGGGAGATAGTGATTTATTGTTATATAATAGAAAACAACAAAATCACTAGTCTTCCAGACCAGGAAAGATAAAAGCTGTCACCAGCATTCGGTTACATATCCATCACCAAGGTTAGTCATTAATATAAACCATATCAGAAATTTGATATATAAACTATATCAGAAATTTTAATATCACCATAACCCAAAATACATAACAAGCATAAAACTACCTCTATGAATTTTTAATAAACTACAACCATTTAAAAGCAAGCTGAAAGATGTTTATCTCTCATATTTTAATCCATGCATGTTAGTGAAATAAAATTGAAAAGAAATTATAGATTGTTCCAAATCTAATACAGTTATCCCAGATTGTAACTATTTAAAATTTCCTATAAATGCAATAAAAAGAGTGAATGACTCGACAATAAATTAAACAGAACTTCTTCAGTTACATATACCAATCTTTACAATCCTAAAAATTTACAATCCGAAATTTATACAATATTCCTGAAATACCTTACTTGCATGTAATGAGATGGTCTACCAGAACAAGTTTCTATATAAAAATCATCATTGACGACATTCTTTGTTATTATGATCTTTCAAGCAGAATTATAGCGGTAATAATCACCTGTCCTATCTAGTTGCAACTAATGCTTAATTCAGGGATTAACTTATATACATTTGAACATAATCAATATATTCAGCAAGACCTGACCAACAGGTGGACAAGGTGAGAACAGGTGGGCTGTAATCATATAATGTGACACCCTTTGTTGTTTATACCTTATTCAGTTCTAAAAGCTTTTTTGATTAATTCAATTACAAGATATTAATCATCAATGATCTGGACTTGTATGTGGACCCTGTGAGAAATATTACATAACTATGATAACTTGATAAAATTAGTAATATCATGCTGCTTCTATCAGGCCTATTGACTAAAACTCTGAAAATGATGTTACCTGTGCAAGGTACATATTAGTGCATGCATCTTAATTGATTTTGTTTCATTTACCATAGGCATAGGTGCATCTGATTTGAACTAATTTTCCAAATTTAATTCCTTGCTAATGGACATCCAGCTCAACAACTGATGGTAACATATTGGCTTTATCCTTACATGTAAACTTTGAATACCTTGCTTTCCTGATCTTTCTGGCATAAATAATTTGGTTCTCTATATTACAAAGAGCAAAATGTTTTTCTTGCTAAAAAATGCTTGTTAAAAATTACCATTAAAACATCATTCACTAAAATATGAAGATTTTTCTCCCTCAAAGATGCCTGCTTTTGATGTATATATTGAGAAGTCTGAACTAAGAAAATTTAGGAAATCAACAACAAAATGTTTCTATATAGGATTAAAAAAATATAATTCTCATTCAGGTCTTTATTATTAAGAAGAAAAAATTCATTTCTCCTCAACTTTAACCTTTAGGACTGTAAAAAATTACTGAAAGTTAATCGAACAAAAATTAATCATTAAAAATCAACCACTTAAGTCACTTTGGAGTGAAATGTAAGTAAATGTGACATAATTTTTGTTTAAACCTTTTATTAATATTAAAGATGTACCCACTTAGATATGGGCAATTCCATTAGGCAATAGTTAAAAAACCACACCATAGCTCATTAAGATATAATAATAAATATTACCCCTTATAAAACATCAAATATTGAACTCTGAAGTGAAACTGTTTATTCAGTAGGAACCAATTATTCAGTGACCTTTTAGCATCAGCAATTCTAACATTAAAATAAAACATTTTTTTCTATTCTGGATGATTATTATTTATTGCATTTCTGAGCTTAACCTATTGCTTTTGCAAAACTGGTCAAAATTAATAAAGTCATGCATTTAATGATTTTATCAAACTGTCAGAGGTCTTAAAGCAAAAATGTACCATTTTGTAAGGTCTAGGCTGTGTTATACAGGTTACAAATTGCCTTGTTAGAGGGGTATATGTCCATCTCAAGGAACAATTGACTAAAAGCATGACAAGTTTGGGCTTGGTACAACCAAATAGCAAATTCCAGATTCACCAGTTTATTTACAAGTCAATTACCGTGGATTCACTGTTATTTGTGGATTTACTGTGTGTGTAGGTACACTGCCAATTTAAATATTCAACGAAGTACACATTTTCTATAGGCATGGATTCACACTTTGACAAAACTACGAAAATAGTTTTTTCCTCAATCCACAAAAGTAAATGAATACACAGTAATTGGTTACTTTAATATTGGTTGTCCCTTATTAAAAGCAAGCTTATGAAAACTCTGGGAGAAATATATATACCGTAAATTGGGAAATTTTGGCGTCAGGTTATTTTGGCGGTTTTCTCTCGAAAGGCATGTGTAATTTTGGTGTGTGTAATTTTGGTGCTTCGTCCAATTGATATATTAAATTTTGGAGCAACAGTAGTGAGCAGGCTCATTCAAATTTGTCTGTATTTACCCATTTATTGACAAAATATCATTGAATTTCTCAAACAAGAAACACGACAAAGTTAACTTATAAAGGAATCGGATACGGATGCAATTGTAAATAATGCCGTATATCATGGTTCAAAGCTGAAAGAAAATATGAAATAAAGTCTTACACATAAAAATCACTTTTTAAATAGATTATTTATTTTTTTTATAAATATCATATGAAATAAATTTTAATCATCTCTATTGTAGTACATGTTAATCTATTGACGATCAAAGATTTAAATTTTAATCCTTATGCCTCTGGCAGTAAATGTTAATTAATTGAAGATAAAGGATTACAAGGAGTTTTGATTCTAATTACCAGTAACAGCTTCTAATCAGCAATAGCCTGGCATATTTATGACATGTGTGAATAAAAATTCATATTGTGTTTTCTTAACAATTTCAGAAAATTGACAATTAAGTAAAAATTATATAGTGTCATTGTCAAATTATACCAGCAGAGTTGGCTATGTATAGAATTGTTGGAAATATACGGAAGATATAATAACATAAAATAGTTTCCCAACAATTAACATTACGATATTGTCGTACTGGTACGCGATTTTGGCGTTTCAATTTTTAGTGTTTGCTTTATTTTCTTGTGTTTACTTTTGGCACTTTCAATGGAGGCACCAAATAAACCAAAATAAAACTACAACCAAAATAACCCAATTTACGGTATGGATTTTTAAAAATAATTCATACACTGTAAATTCAGAAATTATTGCAAAGTTTTTATTAATGTGAATAATGTGATTGGGTGAGTTTCGCAATAATAAGAAATTGCATTCTGATATCTGATAACATATCTTATTGCAGATTTTCCTGAAATTGCAATAATTAATAACTCATTTTTGTTCATTCTTCAAAAATCACAATAATAAATGCATGCAACAATTTCTGAATTTATAGTATGTATTTGGTAGTTACTATCTACTCAACTACTAATCAATTAAATAAAAAAATCAAATACAATCATTCTAGACGCTATGTTAGCACTAGAGTAAGGTAAGATGAGAATTACCAATCCTCTATTATCTTGGCATTATTTTTATTTTTAACACCAACTTCAAATAAAATGTTTACTTAATATATATTTGGTACATTGCTTATCACTAGAGCTAACATAGGGACTAAAATCTCTCCCAAATAATCCTGTGCTAGTGTAGTATACCTGTGTAGCAAAGACTCACCTCATCTGTAGTAGGTACTGGGCATTTTGTATCTGTTCTGGAGTCCCTGTAATGGTGATTATACGATCATTGCTACCCATCAGGGGTTCATCAATCACAATCTGGGCTTGTGACTGCCTGCGAATTTCTTGGATACGGGATCCACCCTTCCCAATAATGGCTCCAGCCAGCTGTGGAAATAGGGAGGAAATCTTTACATTAATGGTAAGATCACAAAATAGAGCCCAAAAGTTAACCCAGACGAGCATCCCCGTAGGACTATTCCATTTAAATGTAGCAGGCACCCTGGGCAGGGGAAACCAAACAAACCACTTAAATGGGAAAACTTCTCACCACATGTCAATGGAATACCCCTGTAGTATATTACATACAGTGAAATTTGGTGGCATAAATTAAAACTTAGTTAGTGCTCAACTTAATCTATTTGTATTGAGATTATATGCAAACTCTGAAGAGCTGCCACCAAAATTCACTTAATCATTAATATATATATATATATATATGCATATATGTAGAGTCAAATCTATGTTCAGCCTTAATTCAGTGTCCATTCCTCAGATCCATGTCCCATGACAGCATGACACTCAATTCTGTGGGCCTTTGATAAATCTCAAATTTGATTCCTTTCCTCCGATCTGTGTCCTATGATCTCATTACACTCAAATCTTGTAGCCTTTTGTTTATTCAAATCAGTGACCTTTTAATAAGGTAGAATTTCAGAAAGGTGACTTGACTTAGGACAGACACATATAGAATGTGCCCGGTTAAACGCTCCAAACCCTCCCCTTAACCAAAACTATTATTGAAAAGTAAAATAACAAAAATACCGAACTCCAAGGAAAAATCAAAACGGAAAGTCCTTTATCAAATGGCAAAATCAAAACTGAAACACATCAAACGAATGGAAAAACAACTGTCATATCCCTGACTTGGTACAGGCATTTCCTTATCTAGATTTTCCTATCGAAGGTCAGTGGTTTTCTCCGGGCACTCCGGCTTCCTCTACCAATAAAAACTGGCCGCCACGAAATAGCCCAAAAGCGGTGCTTAAAAGTGGCGTTAAAACACCAAAAATCAAATCAAATCCTTATCTAGAAAATGGTGGATTAAACCTGGTTTTATAGCTAGCTAAACCTCTCATTTGAATGACAGTCACATAGAATTCCATTACTATCAACACAACATAAGAACACATTGTAATAAAATGCTCCACTGGGCGCAGCTTGATACTACCGCAGCGGTTGAACCCTGAACAGTTGGGGCAAGTATGGACACAACATTCAAGCTTGATACAGCACTGAATTTGGATTGTGATTAAATATTTGACACAGCATAGGTTTCTGACACAGAATGAATGTGGTCTAAGAACTTAAAATTTTTTAATTTACCTATTCAAACCATATCATTATTATTTGCTTTTATATATAAATCAGAAATAACCAATTTAAAATGGAAAATTTTAAAGGAAAAAAAAATCCCCCCAAATTTTTTGAACCCCCTTATGATTCATCACCCCCAAACTCAATCCCAACCTTCCCTTTGTGGTATAGTACCTTGCAGTTCAATTTCCGAGAGATCCATATACTTGAACACAAGTTATTGTCTGGAAACTAGAAAAATGCTTATTTTTGGCCCCTTTTTCCTAAACATTTTGGGCAATTACCCCCAAACTCAATTCCAGCTTTCCCTTTGTGATATGGAACCTTGTAGTACAATTTCAGAAAGATCCATACACTTACACACAAGTTATTGTCATGAAACTAGAAAAATGCTTGTTTTTTGTAGAAGCTTTTTTGGCTCCTAATTCCTAATATTTGGAGGCAATTACCCCCAAAATCAATCCCAGCATTTCCTTTGTGATATAGAACCTTGTGGTACAATGTCAGAGAGATCCATACACTAACACACAAGTTATGTCTGGAAGTTACAAAAATGCTTATTTTTGGCCCCTTATTCCTAACTGTTGGTACCATAACCCCCAAAATCAATCCCAACCTTCCTTTTTGAGGTATTGAACCTTGTGGTAAAATTTCATAGGGATCCTTTCACTTAAACTAAAGTTAGAGTGCGAAAACCAATGTGTCTTCGGACGACGACGACAACGTCATACCAATATACGACCGCAAATTTTTTTGCGGTCGTATAAAAAATCAGATAGAAAGGGCTTGACTAATCAAATCAGCAAAAACCAAAAAACACAAAGAACCAATCTTAAAAGAGAATATATATAGAATGGCCTTAACTGATACAATTTTATTAGAATATAAGAGTTGTATTGACGTTTATGACAACAAAAAGATTTCCTGGATGAATTAAATAATTCTGACGTCAGCGCACAACTGGTTGAAAAGGACACAGATTTGAGAAAGGAAAGGACATAGACATATATTTGAGGCTTACATATATATATATATATATGTGTGTGATTGACAAATCACTGATGTTTCATAAAAACACACTATACATAGGGATGGCACATAATCTTTATCCTTTTATTGATCAAGTGTTTTCAAGTAATATGCCAAATGTAAATGCATAATGAATCATCCCAATGTGCAGTGTGTGTTTGAATGGTTAACACATTTTACATAATACAGAAGAAAATCCTTATTATTTTGTCTATAACTCGTGTGTTTGAATGGTTAACACACTTTACACAATACAGAAGAAAACACGTAGTATTTTGTCTACAACTCCATATCTTTTGCCTTTTTAAAATGTATGTATCACTTTAATAGAATTATAGTGAACCTATTCTTTTGTCATCAAATATTTTGCTTTTGTATATGAATCAAATTCACATTTATTGATTGAAAATTTGAATAATGACTCGAGGCTCTAGGTCTATGTGCATCTTTAACAATGGACACTCTCCAACATTGTAGACAAGAATACATCTCCATTGGCGATTTCAGCCATGTTGAATTATTTGTTGATCTAGTTTTGCTCATCATTTTCAAAATAATTGGCAAAAACACTGAAAATTGGAAAAATTTGAATACAGTCAAACCTGCCTTAACGGTCACTTTAAGGCACTCCCAAACATTTTCTCTAATAATTTAACTTGTTTCAGCTTTTAACAACGGTCCATTTATTTTTAACTACCTAAATAGCCATGACCAAAAATATATATTTAGAGCATTGAAGTAAAAATGAAAAACGGAACCCCATTTGCAACCAAGATCAGGTAATAGAAGGTGAAATCATGAATTCATCATGTTTCATACCTTTCTGTTTCCATTGAAAATAGTATCACCTACTTATTCCTCTACGAACATAAACATATTTTGAATAATTTTTTTTCAAATTTTCAGCGGTCACTTTAATATTTTCAACTACCTAAAACTACCTACAAACTTTAACACGTAAACTATGCAAAACATTCAAAGTAAATGGACCATAACTGGGGGGGTGGAGCCAAATAATCTGCATGGAAATGAGACGTGCCAATGCATACCAAATATCATTGACCTACCACTAGTGGTTCCCCATAAACTGACCTAATCACAAATTTTTACATCGCTGACACCACTGTCCGAAACAGCAAGCCCAAGTCTCACTTTATCGTCTTTGTAGAAGTGAGTCAAAAGAAGATGTAATGCAACAAGATTATTTGGTAAAAATATGAAGTAGATAGCACAGGCACTTGGGGAATGGACAAACTTTTTTTTATATATCTTTTTTTGTGTTTCCATTTTCTTTTTCAAGTTTTCCTTCATATCTAACTTATTTAATGTGTTCTTGGTGAATATAGGAAATAGTTAGATATTAATATTGTGAGCACTTTGCCCCATTAGATTTTCTCTACCTAATACGGTATTCAATATACAAGACATGTAATGCCTTTTACCCTATGTTCTATTTTTAGCCATAGCGGACATGTTTGTTGACCTACTGAAGAATAATAAAAGAACAGTTTTCCAATGTCCCCCCGCCTTGCACATATTTTATCTATCCAAGGTACAAGGGCAATAACTAAAAAAAGCACTTTTTTTCTTTTCTTTAAAACTTTTTATTAATATCTTAGAGAAATAAAGGCTTTAGAGCAAATGTGATGTGATTTCCATTAAAATTAATATTTCCAAGGGGCATAACTCGTTAAAAACATTTCATCATAACTTATTTTCAAAGTGTCAAAAGACATTACTGATATAAACCTATGATATAAGTTTCATAAAATTCAAGAATTGAACACATGAGAGCGCTAACAATGCAGTTTTCCATATAATCAATATTTCCAAGGGACATAACTCTTTTAAAAATAATAGATTGGCACTGATTTTTAAACTCGTCCAAGACATTGCTAATATAAACCTACAATATAAGTTTCATAAAAATCTGGCAAGAATTGTACACATGAGAGCGCTAACTATGCAATTTTCCATATAATTAATGTTTCCAAGGGGCATAACTCTTTGAAAAATACTTAATGGGCACTGATTTTCGAACTCGTCCAAGACCTTGTTGATATAAACCTTTGTCATAAATTTAATAAAAATCTGACAGAAATTGTACATGTGAGAGTGCTAACAAGACGGGATGGACGCCTGGTATTTCTATGGACAAAAAGCACAAACTTTATATACTAGATAACTTAGGATCATTCATTCAAGTTTGGTTGAAATTGATTCAGTAGTTTCAGAGAAGATCTCTGAAAAAATTTAAGACAATATGACAGAACCAAAGTGATGGCAAAAGCTCACATTTTCTTTACAGTTGAAATAATTAAGCATGCAGATCAAGAGTTTAAATGCCTTGCTTGCAAACTTTGTTTGGTTATTTGCTTAGACATTGTAATTAAGATTGACACCTAAATTAAATGGGTGGGCCAATGATTTTGTAGTAAGCTATAGTAAACAGACTGTCACTCCGCCTACCCATTGAATTTAGGTGTCAATCTTAATTACAATGTCTGAGCAAATAACCAAACAAATGCATTTTAACTCTTGATTTCCATGCTTTATTCTCTCAACTGCAAGGCCATGCGAGCAAAAACGAAAGAAGATTTCCTTCCTATGGTGCTGTCAATAATTCATTAATATAGAAATAGTTATAAAGTGCTATTTCTTAAAACATATAATACAGTAATACATAACTACTTACATCTTTAGGGATGGTTACTTGCTGTGAATTGTCGCCAAACATTTGTCCCATATCACCCTACAAAATTCAACTTTGTTTTTCATTTCATGCCAACTGTTTTATATTTTACAATGTTTTTATAATGTTTGGGAACAGTTTCTTTTACATCCTTGTACCTTTTTTCTTTTTTATCCCCTGATTAACTTTCTACAAAATTATAAACAAATGTGTTTCAAAATTAACTTTTAATATCTATGTGATAACTTCCGTATGGTTTTATTTTTGTTTTGTTGAATAAGACCAGGAAAGAAATATTCTAAAATGTCAAGAGCAGATAATTGACAATTTTTTTTTTTGAAGTAGTACTGAGGCCAACCTTAAAAATATGTTTGTTTGCAGTTTTCCGACTGTACCTTCAGACTGCAGGGTCGGTAGGTAGGAAAAATATTTTATTTTATCAGCCAGAATAAAGTTTAAACAAGCAGTTTAACACAAACCAAGTTTCTTGTGAAGAAAAAAACATTTTAAAACAACAAACACTGAAAACCAACATGAAATGAACAGGCATTTTCACGTAAACACCTTTTTAACCAAAACTGAAACTCAACATAGTGTCATTATACAATTTATGACATAAAATTATGGTATTATGAAATACTGGAACACTTATAAACAAGAAATGACTAGAATTGTTGTAAAGAAACATATTCACTGACATATATGCATTTTTACCAGAATGTTTTCATGAGTAGAGTATTTGCATCAGAAAAATGTAGATATTAAAGATAATTTAGGAGTGTGTTAAAAAAAATCGACCATTGAATCTTCCTCAATTGAAAAAAAAGACAACTTAAAAAAATATATTAGACATCTGACTGTTATAAAGGTTATATTTGGAAAGATATGTTGATGCCAGGCTTTAATAATAACAAACAAAAATCTTAAGACTAGCTTTGGGGTGAAATCCATACCCCCCCTATTAAAAGTAAATGGTCTGTACTGAAATGTTTTGACTGCATAAAAAAAAATCAGAAGCATAGCTCCTAGCTAAGGACATATATCAATTCAATTCACACAGGCCACACAGTTTGGGTACTGATATTTAATATTGTAAGAGAGAGAATAATTGCAATGAGTGGGACAGCCCCCCTTATCCTAAAGGAGCATACTCATTGCAATGGATGATAGATTTGATACAGAGAGAATATATTTATTTCTCAAGCCAACCATTCATTTTCTCTACATCTTTGTGTAGTTTGTGTGGCTTCTTATTGATTTAACATTTCAAATGCGTCCTTCCACCGTACAGGCGTGTTTACAGGTATCCATGAAGTCACGGAGGAGTGGTTTCATCTTTGTCGTCTTCACGACGATTTAAAAAAAATATGGCATACTTCAGGCTGCTGTCAAATTGTTGAACCACTGATATTGCATTTGGTTCCATAAAGTCAGTCTCAAAAGATTCTGTATCTGATTTGTTTGAGACAGAAACGGTTATCGTGTCGGTTTTATGAATATCCGCTGCATCATCGTCAATGATATCTGACATCGAAGACATCATTCCGTGTGCAATTCTGCCTGAATCAGTATAAACAGTTTACTATGAAACTTTTCTGTGTATCATCTGTCTTAAAATTGACAGAAGACGACAGAATAAAGTACTCCTCCATGACTTCGTGGATACCTATAAACAATCTCCATGTGCTTTACCATTAAAGGGTCCGATGTACGCTTGACAGGAAGGGAAGAAAAACCGAACTTCAAACATGTAATTGACCTAGACTCGAAATCAATTACGGAAACGACCCGAAATTCCGGATTGAGTCAATAGAAGTATCAAAAATAATTTCTTCAAATTAAAAGCAATAAAATGTTCACAGTCGGGCGGATTTTCGAAGGTCGGTCGGTAAACTGCAAACAAACAATATTTTAATTTAAGCCTGAATGTACTATCCTTTCAACAGTCGTAAATATGATTTATTGTTTTATCCCATCATAAACTAAAACTGTGTCAGTAAAACTGTTCTTACGGTATTGTCCTGAGCAAAGTTCTGGTTCATACCACCACCACCACCGCCGTATCCACCATCATAACCATCATCGTAGCCACCACCAAAGTTGTCACCAAAACCATCACCTCCAAATCCTGAAATATTAAGTATAATTTAGGTCAACAGCTACTAACATTGGGAAAATTAAAAGAAAATTCCATTCATAGATTTAAAAGGAGATTGAAAAATAACTTAGATCAAGGTTGGTTTTACCTCAATTTTGTATTGAAATATAAACTAATCTTATTCAAAATGTAATAAAACCTTGTTAAAAGAAGAAAGATATGGTCAAATAGCTTTAAAACTCTATTCTTCTATCTTCTTATTACAAGGGTAACTTCTCACAATTTCTATAGCACCACTGTCACTTAACCAAAAATTGCATAACATTTCTTCATTATTAAATAAAAACTTGTAAGTGGGTCTGCGGAACCCTGTGTCTCGTGTGCGATTGCTGCTGTCAGTGTCAAATTGTAAAGTCAACTTAAAAAGTGATTCCATTTATCAGTAAAATACAGAATTTAAAAAAAGATTCAATCTTTTTCTTTAGAGACTACGTTTATCAGTAAAATACGGAAAAATGAAAATAAATATTTTAAAATTTTGCTCTGGATATTGTCTTTTGGTCTGACATAAACAAGCTTCTGTCCAAATTTCATAAAATTCCATGTAGGTTTGACAAATGTTGATGCCCCCAATGACGAAAACCTAATTGCTTACTATCACTTCATTTTAACTTGGGCAGATAATTGTCTCATTGACAATCTTACCACATCTCTTCATTTTTATACATTGAAATGAGATTTTGCAAATGCTAACACAACTAAATACCATTGACTTTAACATGTAAACTATGCAACAGTTTCCAAGTCAAGAGACCATGACTGATAGGGCGGGGCCAAATAATCTCTATGGAAATGAGATGTGCCAATGTTTATATATACAAATGCATATCAAATATCATTGACCTATCATTAGTGGTTATCTTTAAACTGGCCTAATCAGGAACTATCAAATACATTGTTGACACTGCTCCTGCCAGAAACAGCACAACAAAGTGTTGTTTTTTGGACTCCGTTGAGGCAAGGCAAAAATAGATAATAAATGGGAAGTGTGTCCATGGGACACAGATGATGCCCCTACTTGCATTTAATGTTATAAAGGGACATAACTCAAAACTGTATAAGTGACGCTACTTAAATTTGAACTTGATCTGAGTTTTGTGGTAATAAGAATTGTGTATAAGTTTCATAATATTTGGTTGAGGCAAACTAAAGTTAGAGGACGGAATCGAAAAATTCAGCAATTTTTCCATTTGTAAAGTGGCGCCACCAAAATTCAAACTTGATCTGTGTTTTGTGGTAATATGCATTGTGTATAAGTTTCATAACATTTGGTTGAGGCTAACTAAAGTTAGAGAATGGAAACTTTGGGGCGTACGTACATACAAGGGTAAAACTTAATGCCCCCTCCATTACGGCGGGGTCATAACATATATATATATACTACTTACCCCCACCTCCCATATTTCCTCCACCCATGTTGCCTCCTCCCATTCCTCCTCCTCCGCCTCCACCACCACCCATACCCATTCCCATTCCACCTCCCATGCCACCGCCCATGTTGCCCATTCCTCCTCCACCTCCTCCCATTCCCATGCCTCCACGACCACCGCCCATGTTGCCTCCTCTGAAAAACAAAACACATAGCTAATGAGTGCTAAAGCTTCATTTTTCTTTCAACATCTTTAAAGTTAAGCTATTTAATTAAAAGCAAATAGTTTTAACACCAATATTTCACATATTGCAAATTCATCTAATTTCTGTGCCATTGTTGAATATAATATTGTTACATAAGCCAGGAAATTTGACTTAAAACTTTCCAGGCAACTTTTTTCTTCAAATTTGTCTTTTAAGCAAAACCAATATGAAAAAATCCATGGTTTATAAGAATGTATCAAATTTTAACAACATTCCTTCGGAAAATCCAGTAAAAAATTCTGAAATTGGCCCAAAATATGCATTTTAGTAATGACTTCTCTATTTTCTTACAATTGATAAGTAGGTAGATCTTGACATTCTAAACATATTAAACCCCGTCACATTTTCTCTATTTTTGTTTTCAAGAAATTGGTCAACTGCATTTCCCCTGTTATTATTGGCTGTGATAGTCCTGTTAGTTGAGGAATTGTATTATAATTCACAAACTATAATCTAGACACCTCATAGATGAACCATGTGAAGTTTGGTTTGAATTGGTTCAGTAATTTAGAAAAAAAAAATCTTTGAAAAAGTTTGACATAGGAAGCTAATCTGCTTTTTTGCCAGATGAGCCACAAACCCATACTTGTTCTAAAAGTCGATGAATGATGTCATTAAGAATAAATAAATTAAGATTGTCAAAACAACAATATATCAATCCATTTTAACACATCTGATACCGTGTTACAAGGATAGCATCATATTACCTCATTCCGCCACCTCTGTTGCCACTTCTACCGCCAGGTCCTCCCATTCCACCACCTCTCATTCCTCCTCCTCCACCACCACCCATACCACCTCCTCCCATTCCACCTCCGCGTCCACCACGACCTCCCATCATTCCACCACCACCTCCACGACCACCCATTTCCATACGGCCCATTCCACCTCTGAAAAGGAAATAATAAATAATATACTGATATAACATTAGTACAGCTTTTATTGCAATTCAACTGAAATGTTTTGGTTGAAAATTATAATCACAAGGAATAATTTCAGAATTAGAGACTGCTCCAATTTTACTTTTACAACAAAAGCATTTCTTATATTTGATATTAATTTTTAATTGACGTCCATAATCATAGTTGTATTTATTGTTGACTAATTGCAAACACTGTATATCAGCTAAATTTATGTTTACTGCTTTATAATGTTTATGCTTAAGAGTAAATTAAGGTAAACATATTAGATGTTTATCTAAAGGCAATAGGAAAGTATGTGTTGGGTTTATGTTTTTTGTATTATGTGGAAAACTCAAGCCCCAATTCTTAACCATAAACTCATAATAAATAACAGAATTGTTCAAGATTTCTTTGGCTAGTGATAGATGTAAGTATATGTTCTCAGAGCACAAGGAAAATCTTCATTGATCAAAGTTAATAATTTGCTATCAAAATTATTAGTAAAACTAAAAAGAGACATTTTTGTTTAAATTAATAAATAAGTCTTTGTGGTTCTTCTGTCAAGAGTAATCCTAACTAACTTCAAAACTGAATGTCCTCACAAAATAGTAATCAACTTTCATGAATTCTTTATTTGTGAGTGATTCCAGTCTTTAAGATTGATCACAAGCCCATACAGACAGGTTTCAATCTTTATCTACAAACACTAGTTTTTATTCAGTGGATTTAAACCCAACTCTTTTATCAAAATAAGGTCATGAGGGGTTCTTTCCCAGTAAATGATCAAAATAAGGTAAAATTTAAATGAATGTGTGTGTCGAACAAAAATTTTCTAACAGCAGTCAACGTTGCAATACTTAAGTTTACAAAAGAATAAAATGCTCCGCTGGGCGCAGCTTGATACGACCACAGAGGTCGTCCCCTGAACAGTTGCGGCAAGTATGGACACTACATTCAAGCTTGATACAGCACTGAATTTGGATTGTGATTAAATATTTGACACAGTATAGGTTTCTGACACAGAATGAATGTGGTCTAAGAACTTGAAATTTTTTAATTTACCTATTCAAACCATATCATTATTATTTGCTTTTATATATAAATCAGAAATAACCAATTTAAAATAAAAAATTTGAAAGAAAAAAAAGGGGGAAAAAAAATCACCTTCCCCCCCAATTTTTTGAACCCCCTTATGATTCATCACCCCAAACTCAATTCCAGCCTTCCCTTTGTGGTATGGTACCTTGCAGTACAATTTCAGAGAGATCCATACACTTGAACACAAGTTATTGTCTGGAAACTAGAAAAATGCTTATTTTTGGCCCCTTATTCCTAAACGTTTTGGGCAATTACCCCCAAACTCAATTCCAGCTTTTCCTTTGTAATATGGAACCATGAAGTACAATTTCAGAAAGATCCATACACTTACACACAAGTGATGGTCATGAAACTATAAAAATCCTTTTTATTGCCCCTTTTTTGGCCCCCAATTCCTAAAATTTTGAGGCAATTACCCTCAAAATCAATCCAAGCATTCCCTTTGTGATATGGAACCTTGCGGTACAATGTCAGAGAGATCAATACACTAACACACAAGTTATGTCTGGAAGTTACAATAAACTGCTTCGCTGAGCGCAGCTGGATACCCCCCGCAGAGGAGAGGTCCAACCCTGAACAGTTAGCGCAAAAATGGACACAATATTCAAGCTTGAAAACAGGTCTGAATTTGGATTGTAATTAAATATTTGATATATTATAGGTTTCTGAATAAATGTAGTCAAAGAACTTGAAATTGGTTTTATGAAAGATTTCTTGCAGTAGTGCAATACACTGTGCTGTTGCGTAAATCTGTTGTCAGACTATAAACAAATAAAATTTTATAACTCGGAAACATAAAATTGACAATTTATAAAAATCAAAAGGGAGCTTACAAAAATAGATATAAACATTTTACCAAAGTTTCATAAAAAATGCTGAAAGCATTTTTGAGTTATTGTCCGAAAACTGGAAAATCCCCCTTTTTGTAATGAATAAAACCCCATAAATCAAAAACGTATAGTCTGAAATTTATAAAAATCAAAAGGGAGCTCATGTTGATAGAAATAAACAATTCACCAAAGTTTCTTGCAAATTGGTGAAATTGTTTTTGAGTTATTGTCTGAGAACTGGAAAATCCCCCCTTTTTTAATGAATAAAACCCCAAAACTCGGTAATGGTAAATCCGAAATATATAAAAAACAAAAGGGAGCTCACGTCAATAGATATGAACAATTCACAAAAGTTTCTTGCAAATTGGTGAAATTTTTTTTGAGTTATTGTCTGAAAACTGGAAAATCCCCCTTTTTTAATGAATAACACCCCAAAACTCAGAACGGCAAGTCCTAAATTTATAAAAAACGAAAGAGAGCTCACATCAATAGATATGAACAATTCACAAAAGTTTCATGCAAATTGGTGAAATTGTTTTTGAGTTATTGTCCGAAAACTTGAAAATCCCCCCTTTTGTAATGAATAAAACCCCAAAACTCAGAAATAGTTAATCTGAAATTTATAAAAAATGAAAGGAAGTTCACGTCAATAGATATAAACAATTCAGCAAAGTTTCATGCATATTGGTTAAAGCTTTTTTGAATTAATGTCTGAGATCCATTCACTTTAACTAAAGTTAGTGTGCGAAAACCAATGTGTCATCAGACGCCGACGCCAACCTCATACCAATATACGACCGTGGTCGTATAAAAATGAAAGGATATGGAGTTAATGTACATGGGACAAAATCGCACACAATACATAGAAAACATAGAAAATTGTCAATGAACAGGGCTTTTATTCCTGTTCTTCATCTTGACAGTTGATGTAGGGTCTTCAACAATGAACAAATCATTCATACCCTACAAGGTCAAGATGGACCCTAGCGTCCACTTAAGCGGTACTGTTGATAAAAATAAACCACAGTTCACCTTCTTGCTCCCCACACGCCTCGGAGTATATTTTTTGGGACATCATTTGCACTTGCATTAATTACTTCTTTTTCTATTAATAGATTTTTTGTCACTTTTGCACACAAGTCTTAAGCTATACCAGTTGCCTTTTTAAATTGGAGGCTAAATATTAGCCTTATCAAACATTGTTCTTCCTATATATTTTATTTTCAAGAAGTATGCATTCCAAAATATTGATGGGTCTACAGTACTTTGCTTACAAAAGCTATGAGAAATGCAATTCTTTAAATACATTTTCAAATGTCTTTATTAAAATTGTGCAAGCTCGAAGGAGTTGATATCGCTTACCTTATTAAAACTTTCAACATCAACCTTAACTTATACTAATTTCAAACCTGCCTTTGTTTCTCAAACCTCCCACCTCTCATGCCTCCCATTGGACCGCCCATTCCGCGGCCAGGAGGTGCTCCTCTTGGACCACCCTTTCCTCTGCCACCTTCTGCAGCCGTGTATCCTCCATAGTCACTGACCATAAACTCATCCCAGTACATAGGGTCATATGGCTGGTTTGGTCCTTTTGGTGGGGCCTTCAAAATATATTTTTAATTAATTTTAATATTTATGCACTGATCAGTAAGATTTGGTATTGTAATTTATGCCAGGATATAATCAGGATTTGGCAAAAAGGGGCAAAAAAACACTCGGGTCATAAAAAAGCAAAGATAAGTATTAAGCCACTGAAAAGTTCCAAAAATATGTTGGAAACTTGTGTGTGCTCATAGGGTACCAATTTTTTCTGAAACCTGAAGCAGTTCTGAATATTAGGGGTATTCTCTTGGATGCAACCCTTGAAATTAAATACTTTAAAACAAAATCAATTTACAAAAGTCTCTTTTCGTTCATCATACACCATTATTTACCATCCAAAAGTTTGTTCTTTTGAACAATTTGTCTATTTTGATTAAAAGCCAATTGCTAATGTACTTCATTTTCACATTTGAACAATTTAAATAATTTCAAATTGTATACATTTTTTGTTAAACAAGTTGACATGTAGATTTGGTTTTCTGTTGTTGGATTGCTGTCTCATTGATGCATATACCATATCTTTTACTAAAAGAGCAACAACTCCTACAAAAAGTCGTCTGACAGTTTGGACTATGTGGACAAAAATTGACGTTTTGTGACGATAAATACCACAAAACGTCGAAAAATCGAAACATCATAACGTTGCAGTCCATAAAATGTGAATTTTTTAAGTTTTCCACTATCAATTAGGTAATAGATTGACTATTAGACAAAAAACGAAGTCAGTGACCATATGATTATTTTATATCATTAAAACGGAAATTTATGTATCAACAAGTTTAAGAAGGTTTTTGGCAGATTTTATATGCTTTTTATACAAATGTTCACCCTTATTTGAAAGAATTCAATCAATAACATTTCAGATAATAAAAGAGATTAATGCATTATTTTTTCTCTTTTTTTTTATTTCGAGCCAAAGTTGTGCAAAATTTTAGCAAAATCTGTGACATAGCCCACAGTTCCTTGACCTTAAGTTTCAATGATAATTTAAACTGCTTTGACACTATCTTAAAAGCATTTGTGCTGCTGATTTCAAATACTTACAGATTTCAGCAACTCATGGATGGTATCTATACAATCTACAACAATTTTTGGTTTGCCTCCAATTGCTACTACTCTCTCTGTTGATTCTGGGCAACACTGGGAATATACTTTGATCTGTGCTCCAGTTTTCTATTTAAGAATGTGAGCAATAAATAATTTTGTTTAATGGCAAACAACATAAAAATGTATAAAATAAAACTGAAACTTATAAATCAAAATCTGATCTGTGACATTTAAATGTTATTTTTTCGCAAGCATACAAGTATTAGGTAAATATCAATCTGTTAGGTTTTAGTCTGGGAAAACGTCATGGTATATATTTATAAGTTGAAATCTGCATGGAAATTGCTTTCATTAACTGAGAATACTCTTTAAGTAGATTATTGTGTCTCTCTGTAAGTTGTTCCAGTGCTTAGTACGAATCTGATAAGTCATCATGCCTTTCCCCAACTGATTTTTAGTTTGTTTTTAAAGTGTGCTGTCAAGGTTACAGGGTTGATTGCTCACAAACATGCTTAAACGTGCCACATTCTTTTTGTGTGTGAGGACCTGTTATCCAGTGGTTATTCCAAGTTTGCAGTCTGCTATAATTGACTTTAGCATAAAAAAGGTCATTGTTCTAAACTTAAATCACCACTTTAAAGCTGCTGACCAAACATAAAGTCAATCTGATAATTAGTGTCTGAGAAAAGTGTGTGGAAAATATTTGCTGGACGAATAGACACACCAGCTGACAAATAAATTGAAATAAAATGCTCCGCAGGGCGCAGCTTGATACGACCGCAGAGGTCGTCCCCTGAACAGTTGGGGCAAGTATGGACACAACATTCAAGCTTGATACAGCTCTGAATTTGGATTGTAATTATATATTTGACACAGCATAGCTTTCTGACACAGAATGAATGTGGTCTAAGAACTTAAAAATTTTAAATTGGACATTCACCTATTATGGTCCAATATCCAAAATCTAAATACATGGTTAGATTCAGCATATCAAAGAACCCCATATATTCAATTTTTGTTGAAATCAAACAAAGTTTAATTTTTGACCCCGATTTGGACCAACTTGAAAACTGGGCCCATAATCAAAAATCTAAATACATGTTTAGATTCAGCATATCAAAGAACCCTAAGAATTCAATTTTTGTTAAAATCAAACTAAGTTTAATTTTGGACCCTTTGGACCTTAATGTAGACCAATTTGAAAACGGAAACAAAAATTTAGAATCTAAATACACGGTTAGATTCGTCATATCAAAGAACCCCAATAATTCAATTTTTGATGAAATCAAACAAAGTTTAATTTTGGACCCTTTGGACCTCAATGTGGACCAATTTAAAAACGGGGCCCAAAATCCAAAAACTTAATACACGGTTAGAATCAGCATATTAAAGAACCCCAAGAATTCAAGAATAAAACCCCATTGAAATTGGTCAAGAAATAAGCAATTTATACAAAGTATCTTCTTTTGCACAATACTGTGCTATTGAATATTTCTTGCTATTGCGCAATACTGTACAATTGACAATTTCTTGCTATTGCGCAATATTGTGCTGTTGGATATTTCTTGCTATTGCACAATACTGTGCAATTGAAGATTTCTTGCTATTGCGCAATACTGTGCAATCGAAGATTTCTTGCTATTGTGCAATACTGTGCAATTGAAAATTTCTTGCTATTGCACAATACTTGTTATATAATAATTTACACATCCTGTTTGGTGTGTATCTCCTACCATATCATTATTATTTGCTTTTAAATATAAAACAGAAATAACCAACTTAAAATGGAAAATTTTAAAAGAAAAAAAAAAAAGAAAAAAGAAAAAAAAGGAAAAAAAAAATCCCCCCCCCCAAATTTTTATGAACCCCCTTATGATTCATCACCCCCAAACTCAATCCCAGCTTTCCCTTTGTGGTATGGTACCTTGCAGTACAATTTCAGAGAGATCCATACACTTGAACACAAGTTATTGTCTGGAAACTAGAAAAATGTGTTTTTTGGCCCCTTATTACTAAACGTTTTGGGCAATTACCCCCAAACTCAATTCCAGCTTTCCCTTTGTGATATGGAACCTTGTAGTACAATTTCAGAAAGATCCAAACACTTACACACAAGTTATTATCATGAAACTAGAAAAATGCTTGTTTTTTGCCCCTTTTTTGGCCCCTTATTCCTAATATTTTGAGGCAATTACCCCCAAAATCAATCCCAGCATTCCCTGTGTGATATGGAACCTTGTGGTACAATTTCAGAGAGATCCATACACTTGAACACAAGTTATTGTCTGGAAACTAGAAAAATGCTTATTTTTGGCCCCTTTTTCCTTAATGTTTTGGGTAATTACCATCAAACTCAATTCCAGCTTTCCCTTTGTGATATGGAACCTTATTGTACAATTTCAGAAAGATCCATACACTTACACACAAGTTATTGTCATGAAACTAGAAAAATGCTTGTTTTTTGCCCCTTTTTTGGCCCCCAATTCCTAATATTTTGAGGCAATTACCCCCAAAATCAATCCCAGCATTCCCTGTGTGATATGGAACCTTGTGGTACAATGTCAGAGAGATCCATACACTAACACACAATTTATGTCTGGAAGTTACAAAAATGCTTATTTTTGGCCCCTTTTTGGCCCTCATTCCTTAACTGTTGGTACCATAACCCCCAAAATCAATCCCAACCTTCCTTTTGTGGTATTGAACCTTATGGTAAAATTTCATAGAGATCCATTCACTTAAACTAAAGTTAGAGTGCGAAAACCAATGTGTCTTTGGACGACGATGACGATGACGCCAACGTCATACCAATATACGACCGCAAAAATTTTTGCGGTCGTATAAAAATAGAACACTGAAATTAAAACAAGGTATCCCCTTTACTCGATCAAACATTACAAGGAATACTAGACACAAGTTGTTAAATGTATATTTCTGGGAAATCATAAGGTGAGGTGTATCAGGGACATACACTGGCAAAACTTGTGTTTATAGGTTAATAGTCTGGCAAAACTGAGAAATTCATTATGTGTTGGTTATGGTAGAAGGAAAAGTGAGTACCGTAGAAAGGCTTGTATAGTTCGCAGTGGTACATAGTCCGCACCCCCTTCTCCCCACGAAATTTTAGGTAAAAAAAACTTTTTGTAACTGTTAGAAAAGGTCTAATGAAACTCCGGTAATTTCAAATCCTGTGCGGTCGTTTGCGGTATTTTCTTGGAAAACCCTGTTTCCCATCATCAAACAGAAGCTGAATGAAACTGCTTGTAAATGATTCTAGAACGCTTCATGATTGTTAAAATAAGTTTAATTCACTTAAAAAACAATTTAGAAACTTGTGTATGTTTAAACAGGAAGTTTAAAAAGCACGTGTAAAAGAAGAAATTAACCGGTGAGAGTCGAAATCCGTACATAACAGATATCACTATAATACGACTTTGAAAGTAAAACAGTTCCATCCTTTTGTAAAACAGTCTTTAATATATCTATCACATTAATGTTTGAAGAGTCTTAAGCTAATACAAACCATATTAGTCAGTATGAAACACCAAAACGAAACGAACAATGACCGATTACGTTTTGTAGTTTTCAAATTCTAAGCTGGTTTACGGTTGTCTTTTTCACTATGTTTGTATCGTTTCAATCAAGCAGATACCAGTTTATTTCAACCAATGCATTGAAAAGAAACGAGAAATTTGTAATGAAAGGTTTAGTTTTTATATTTATCAGTATTAATTTGATATTGAATAGAAATAACTTATTAATATGGATGAGTTAAAATTATTAGTTTGAAAAATGATAAGAGCGCCCTCTACAATATAAATAACAAAGATGGCGGAACGTAAACAAACCACCGCGCCCGCGAAATTGAAATTTTTCTCTTATTTCTTGCTTATTGTACTCTATAGTCCGCACCCCGTCTGGAAGGTCCAATTTTGGAGAATAAAACCGCGGACTATACAAGCCTTTCTACGGTAAAGATAAAAAAAAAAATATCAGAAATATCATTGCTGTGTATTTCACAAAAATAAGGACACTTAGACATATTGATATCAATAAAATCTTCCGATCCTAATTTTAGATAACAGACAAGGATATGTTAGAGTAAAACCTTCAGTCATTTACATACCTCTCGTAGTTCTTTAATTTTGAAACCAGCTCTACCAATAATACATCCTGCCTGGCTTTGATGTACCAACATTCTAAGTTCACAATCAAAATTATCATCTTTGTAGTTCTTATACTGAAATGTAAAGAAACATTACATATAGTTGTGATTTACACTTTTTATTGCAAGTGTTCATTGTGGCTCTTAAAAAATCTTCAGCAAAAGATGTTGGTAAACATGAAAAAAAAAAAAAAAAAATTCTCAATCATTTTCTCAATTTACTATCAATAATTTCTTATGTGTAAGGTCCTACAATTATTTCTTCTCTTTTTCCCTTTCAAAACTATATCTGATAACTTGTATTCAAGATAACAACAATAAAATTGGTTGCTCATGTTATAATTTTCATCTTATATGAGAACTTACATCTTCCAGTTTAGGAATAATATCTAACACACATTCTAATGCTGTAGCAATCTCTGCTCCTATGGTTAACACTCTGTCAAAAGTCACAACACCAAATTATCAGTTTATGAACAATCAGAACAAATTGTAAACAGGTAAAATAAAGTCAAAATTAACCAAGCAAAAACTTTCTCTCAAATAAAATAGAAAATTATTCTTAATAATTGGTATTTAAAGCAATTTATCAAAAAATCTTTGACAATTAACACAGGTTTCTGAATATAAGCATGAGCATCGTAAACATAAAACGACTGAATTTTATTACTTTTGAATATATTTTTTTACACAGCGACAGTAAGGAAGAAGCATATTATTCTGGCATTCAAGAAAGCATGGCATATCTTATTCATTTTTGTGTATTAGTGAAGCAGAAAGAAACCACTATTACTTTAACACAACATGTAAAACCCTACTGACAAAATGTTTCTATAAATTATTGAAGCAGTTATACAGAAGAAAATGATAACACCCACAGGATTTCAGTGCAGATAGTATAATGCTAGAGACCCATTACTGAATGGTGACTGTGGATCCAGGTGTTTCAGATTGTCAGTTACAAGTGAAACTTCTCAACATACAAATGGCAAGCTATTTTCTGCATATTATAAAACTTATTCCTAGTGTTTTCAAATTATTATTATTAGCACAAATATGATATTAATATTAAGTAAGTCATGATCACAAAACCTTACATTTTTAACTTTACAAAAAAATTAAAACCAGCTGATTTGCAACAGTTAACTAATGAGAAGTCTCACTTGAAACAGTCAAGAACAATTTTAATATCTACTGCTACCTCACACTATTAGTGCAATGATGTTCGTCTACATCAAATTTGTGATAAATTTTCAAAACCTGGCACATTCACCATCTTAGCAAGGTCATACAATGAAATGATAAGTGATGATGGATGAGATATCCCCATGGCTAGGGTTATGAATAAAACAAAGTTTTCAAATCTTAAAATATATGGAGGTTCATACCGTTCGGGACTGGTGCTATCGGGAACTGTGACACTGGCTTTGTACTGGACAGACCAACAATCCATGGGTCAGGGTTGATGTGGACAATCAAGGCCATTGATGAATTCGAATATTTTCGGGCAGGACGAGGATTTTGGGCAAGGCCAGATATGGAGAAAAAGGAGAAAAACGGAATACATATTTTATAATATGGTTTTAACATTAAAACAATATCAATAATATACAAATTTTCACAATTACAAAGAGAAACTACAATGGCTCTAAATGGACTAAGAACTCTGTGGAATAAAAGAAGGCATATATATAATATATATAATAAACAATTAGTAAGGAACATGGTGATAAATTAATGTAAAATTATTTAAATTTCTTTAATCAAACAGTGAGGAAATTATCTTACAAGTATGAATTATCTTATTCAATCAACAGGATTCACTAACAATTCACAATTAACAAATAATACACATTATAAATATCTAGTCATTGGTGTACAGTTCATAATGCAACACAAACTATATTGTAAATGTCAATGATATAATGAAACTTCGAGGGTCCTGGTTGGCAAGACCTGATGTTTAAGGATCCCATATGGCTTTGGACCTCTCTTTAGTCTTGGAGACAGACCTGTGGCCAGGAGGATCCCAAGAGACCCAAGTCAAAGACCAGGAACAAGAAATCTCATTGTTATGTATAAGGTATGTATACTATTGCTGGTGATCACAGATTTTTCGGATCTATACATGTATTGAATACTAAAAACTATTATTTTGACAAAATCTGTATTAAATATTAACTTGCATGTAATAATTTCATACTGATTTTTTTCAGCGTCTTAAGTACTTTAAAAAGGAATTTTTTTATTGTCTATTTTTTGGTACATTTTTTTAAAAGAAAATTCTTCTAAAACCATCAGTCTACCCCCACTTTAAAGGGGATATGAACTGACTGAAGGTCATAAAAGAATAAATAGCATGTCCACATACCAAGTTTTGTTCTTATTTTGATCTAAACTTACGTCGGATCTTAATCTTTTGATGTTACTCCCACCTTTTCCGATGATGGCACCAGCATTCTGAAATTATACCAAAACATTGGTTATGGATTATATTTATAATTAGTGTCATAAAAGTAATATCTATACTTCATCTGAATTCCCTTAATACTGATCAGGCCAGTTTAAATTTTTTATCACCGACTACATAAAAAGTTCTGCATTGAATTTTGACAAGGGATGTTAAGATTTGAAACACTAAATCAGTAAATGGATTAAAATTTTCCATCAGGTGCAGAGGCAATACGTCCGAAGTCTCATTGTCACCTGTCACTTTTATAAAAATATTATTAAAATGTTTGGAAATAAAAAGTTGACTTTTTCCATTAACAACAAAGAAACTTTTAATTTTCAGATTTCCTGTTTAAATACAATTTAGTGGCTGAAAGGTTTCTCCTTTTTTTTATACTTTTTTCAAATTAGGCTATTTCCCTTGATGACAGTTGACACATACCTGCAATTTCTGAGCATAAATATCAAAATGCAAAACTTGCCTCATACAAGTCCTTAAAATCCACATAAAATCAATACATTTCAACCTTCTTATGTGACAATGGGTAATGGTATGACTACTCTTTAAAGTTTAAAAATAGGGTGTCAACAAATAATAGGATTAAAATAAACAGAAGGCAAATGCCTCAATATCCTCCAGAGGATTATTAACAAATTACAAGTTTACACAATCTGTTAGTCTAACCCCTAAACAATGAATTAATATCCTCTCTTTTATCAAAATATCAATAAATCTATACTAAACAATATGGTGACATGTGTTTTCTGTCAATTATACGTTATAATTCCTTTTTTTCTGTTTACCAAATTGTTGGACACAAATTTCTGAACTTAACCTGAGGAAATATAATAAAAATAAACATCATAATTAAAATAATAATTCTGCTACTTACAGTTCATCTTCAGCATCAATATGTATTGTTTTTTTTTTTTAATTTAGAAAACCTATCCTTTTAAAATGTTTGCCACCAGACTGGATTTTACCTAATGCAAATGCATTTTTACCTTACTAGCTAGCAGGAATCTTAATTCAACTCTTGGTCCATCACCTCCTCTTCTTCTTTTCTGTCCATGGTCTTCATAGTCATCGTCATGTCCTCGCTTCATTCCTCCGTCATAACCTACAAATTTAACAGTCGTAACATATTGAGAATCACTGGTTTTTATGAAACCACATAAAAAAACATAATTTTTAGAACATTTTTTATCAAGTACAGATTGTCTTTCTTAAAAAATATTTTTCAAATGATATGCAAATGATATCACCTAAAAAACTTCACCAGGAAAAATAACTACAATAAAAATATAACAGAAAGCAAGTGACAAAAATGTAATTAATACAAAGTCATTAGCTCAATCATAGTCTTTTATGTTTCAAGCCAATTAAAATATTCATAATGCCATAAATGATCAATTCTCTACATTTTTACTTGAGCAGTTATAGTTATCTTTAAATTAATTCAATTCAAGATATTGATCTACCAAAGTTTGTTCCACATCAAATCCTGCACTTTAAAAGGATATCAATAATTGAAAAATTTCCATTATTTATTTATAACAATTGCTCTCATTCATACAAATCATCAGAAAGCTTGTCCATACTAGTTACAATGAATGGGAAAATTCAATTGAATGGAATAGAAAAAATACTACAATAATTATTGTAATTTCAAGAAATTTCATACACTTTTGAAATAAAATACACAACTAAGAGAAAAATAGGAATGCAATTATATCATTTACTACAAAAATGTGACAAGTTTTCACCTGGACAGGTGTAACATGATATAGATTTACTTATTAAAGTACTGATGAGTAATATTAAAGTGAACTATACCATATAAAACAAACCTTTGTAAAAATCACTTTAGCATCCTTAATTAGAAACATACAACTTCAGCTGTGTTACAGGTAATTTATCTGCTGGTGAGAACACCTGGATGTTACGACACCTCAAAGCATTATGTAGGTGTTTCCTACCGTATGCCAATGATCAATTCTATTTCTCCATTTATTCTTTTGTTGATTTGGTTACCAAGCAACAGCCAATGAGAGCCTGACAACTCTCAATATCTGGTGCTCTATTGCTGGCAATTTTCACTAGGCTCTTACAGCAATGAAATAAGTGAACTTGTCTGCAAGTTTTGCAGTATTGTTATACAAATCATTGGAAGTGGGGATTCCCACTTTTTGTCCACCCATCAAATGCATGAAAATTGTATTGGCAATATATACTTTAGACTATGATTATGCAACAAGAATTTTTCAACTGGAGATTTACTGCATTCATTTAATAAACATGTTTCCTATCCTTTACTTAAACAGTTTTTACTTACCATCATCTGCCATTTTTGTTCAGTACTCAATTTCTTAGAACTTATCTACAACAAAATTTCTTGAATTCTTATTTTGAACAGAAAATATATACATGTATACATATAAAGATAAATTTTACCTTTGATTTTAAAATAACCTTTGTCAATTACAAGAGCGTTCTGATATACACTAATATTAACAAATGTGGGATCAAATATTAATAATAGTCAACATTTTTCAAAAATGACACACCTGCCTATAGGCTCAAAGTAGACTAGAGTGAACTGTATACATGGCAATATTATAAGTAATGCAGGGTGAGTGCATTTAAATCTACATGCCCAAATACTCAAAACCCATATTTTCTCTACATGTAAGTAAACTTTATTTAAATTTCTATACACATAGTTCCCCAGACAGCTCTCTGTGGCATATATTCTGCCTCATTCAAAATTAATAAAATGCTTCGCTGAGCGCAGCTGGATACACCCGCAGAGGTCCAACCATGAACAGTTGGGGCAAAAATGGACACAATATTCAAGCTTGATACAGGTCTTAATTTGGATTGTAATTAAATATTTGACATAATATAGGTTTCAGAATAAATGTAGTCACAGAACTTGAAATTGGTTGTATGAATTGAATTTATATTCAATTAAAGATTTCTTGCTGTTGTGCAATACACTGTGCTGTTGCGCAATACTTAGTAAATCTGTTGTCAGACTATAAACAAATAAAGTTCAATTAATTCTCAATGTCATATTAGGAATTTATGAAAATGTAAAGGGAGCTTACATCAATAGATATAAACAATTCACCAAAGTTTCATGTGAATTGCTGACAGCATTTTTGAGTTATTGTCCGAAACTGGAAAATCCCCCCTTTTTTAATGAATAAAACCCTACAACTCAGAAATGTAAAATGTAAAATTTATAAAATTCTAAAGAGCTTACATCAACAGATATAAACAATTCACCAAAGTTTCATAAGAACTGCTGAAAGCATTTTTGATTTTTTGTCTCAAAACTGGAAAATCCCCCTTTTTTTATGAATAAAACCCTGTAACTCGGAAACGTAAAATCTAAAATATATAAAAATCAAAAGGGAGCTCACGTCAATAGATATAAACAATTCACCAAAGTTTTATGCAAATTGGTTAAAGCGTTTTTGAGTTAATGTCCAACATGTTGACGGACAACGGTATACCATAATACGTCCCGTAAACGGGCGTATAAAAACTGGCTACATTTTTTCTTTAAATTCAAAATGATTGGAAGAATAGAAAATTACTAATGTACAAAATAAACAAGGATATTTTAAAATTTGAAAGTCCATGGCACATAATAGGGAAACCCATAACATACATTACATATGAATTGATAGAACAATCTGATAATGGCCTAGTACAGGTTGGTGGTGGTTTAATCAGATTTTTTGGCATAAAACTCCAACAATCCAAATTAATGGAAGTTACATTTTAGATATGGAAGTCAATTAAAAGAATGATGGGTGAGAATGGCTAAAGATACTAAGTTAGTATTTTAACTTTATTAAATTCTGAGTTATTTTTTCTCTTTTCTTCCAATTTATAATGTAAAAAATATTGAAATAAAACCTTGAAACAAAAGGATCATACTTCATAATTGTTAATGCATTTCATTCACACCAAATTTGGATGTCAATTCTATGACTTTGTGTTTCTCTATGTATGCAAAAAAAGGAAACTAGATTCAATGAATAAAAGCATTTTAGCAAAAAAAGTATTGTCAATAGTTTAAAAATAAATAAATAAAAGATTGATTTATCTATTTAGAAGTGTTTGAACAGGAGGCATAAATACATGATAAAAATATTTGTTTGCATACCCAGTTCTCTTTAAATTTTTACATGAACTAAATATTACAATATTGACCGTTATATATTGGTTAATGTTGACACAACTCAATAGTGTAGTTTGAACAATAAGATCACAATAGAAATTTTGTAGCTCTGTTTCCTTATGTGAAATAAACTTTTGCATGGGAAATATAACAATACATAGCCACGCTCAATAAATCATTAGCTTTTAGAAAGCAAAACAAATGTTACACAATAGGTATTTAGCAGGCTACTTTTCTCACCCTTAATATCAATAAACAAGAGAAAAAGTAGCTACATGTAACAATGAAATGCAATATCACTTTTTATGGTCGACACAAATAATAATAGCCCTACAAGTTATATTAAATTTTTTTTCCTAAAAATCAATATCGAAACAAGATTTTTCAATTATTTTTTCTTCAAAAATTCCATCTTGGCTTCCATTATATATCACTTTTTTTTACCCTGAAGAAGCCTTGAGCCTGAAGTAAACTGCAATAACCACTACCAGTAAATTAATTTCTTTTTTATCATTTTATGTATGATATGTACCCCATTATTAAATCAAGGGTTGGTTTTCTCTCTCCAAACATTGATTTCAGCTTAGAAATTATATAGTATCATACGATTTAGAACTGAAGTTGGAATGGATATCTACAGCTTGATTTTTTAATTGGAAATCATGGAATTGAATGAAGGCACAGGGCAAAATTACCTCTCTTTGGAAAGAGAAAGAACAATGCTTATACAACTTCAAACCAATTATACCATTGACTTATCAGGTGGCTCCCCTTAAATTGAATTTGACCTAATAAAAAACTTTAACTGTTTAACATGTCAACCGTAAGCAAAAGTTTTAAAGTCAATAGACCAAGACTGAGAGGACAGGGGCAAATAATCTCCTTGGAAATCAGATGTGCAATTGCTAATACAACTGCATATCAAATAAAATGCGCTGTTCGGTGCAGCTTGATATGACTGCAGAGGTCGAATCCTGAACAGTTGGGGCAAGTATGGACACAACATTGAAGGTCGTATAAAAATGGCTGCTGCTGCTGCATTTTTTTTTTGTGTTCATTCATTAGAACAGTATATTCCTTTTCAGACTGCTGTATCTTTTTTATTATTAGAGCTACAGACAAAGTTAGTGCATGAAAAATGCTCAGGAGAGCATGAACTGTAATGTTATGCAATTATTTTAGTAAAATTTTCATCAAGCTACCTGCATTTTCAGGTAATTAACAGGTAAAAGGTGTAAATTATTGTATTTGTGTTGAATTTTTAATAAAAACAACTTTTAATCTTTATTTATTTTGTTGTTTTATCTGCCATATAATAAAGAAGACACCAGTTGCTCGATTCCGTAGCGTATTTGCACCATACACAACGTATAATGTAAACGTGGCGCAAATAAGTGGCTCCATCTTCAAAATTTTCAGTCAACCTCTGTTTCCCCCTTTTTCTACATCTCGTAAAGATCGACCAAATCATATTTCCCACACGAATTGAATGTAATTAACACATTGAGGTAATGTGAAACCTTTTTTTAACTATTCCTCGTTGTCAGTTTCGCCATAGAAATGCTGAAATATTTCCATATTTACAGCGTCTTTTTTCCATTTCTGCCATTTGCATTTTGTCAAAATATTTGTTTTTATTTTTCTTCTACTGCATGCTTTTACCATTAAAATTCCTGCGATTTCAAGTGCAAACAGGACCTTGTATATCCTCGATTCATATGAGGAAAAATTAGAGGGGACCTGAATGAAAATGGTATACGAGTCTAGATGAAAAATCCATTGTCATCGCGACATATGCCGCGAACAGCAGTGGCGGACGGCGTATGTCATCGCGACATATGCCGTGCATAGCGCTGAAAGGGTTAAACACATTATTGTATGCAAGACTGTAACCCAAGTACTTCAATTAAGTGGAGGACTAGAAGTAAATCTTTCCAAAGAAACAGGCATTATATCATGCATTCCAAAATACATACCAGGTTTTGGTTTTCTTGCAGTTTCCAAGATTTCTTTTTAGTTCTGAAAATATAAATGAAATAACTTTTAAGCATAAACATAATGCCTCATTATCTGACAGATCTTAGTAAAAACTACATATTAATGCAAGAACTCCCAGTGGCTTAGCAAGATATAAATCACATTGGTAGGAATGACTTTCATCTAAGGTGAAAATATATAGGAGTCTTAATTATATATAAGAAAACAACACAATCAGCGAACTTAATAGGTATTAATTTGGAAACAAGAAGAAACTAATTGTATAGCAATACTGCTAACTGATGTATACAATAAACATGAAATTATATATGTATAGAAAGACAAATAAGAACTTTAGAGAAAATGAAGTATTCCAGCAGCCAAAACATATGAAAAATAGTTTTCATACTATTATAACAATGGATATGAATATTACAAATATATATATTCCATCATGGAACTTAATTGAGAATTAAGAAATCTATTGAATGAGGCCAACAAACAATTTATCTTCATTCGTATGGATACCTTAACTACTGCAACATATAGTTTGAAAATTTACATCAGATTGTCTAAAAATTCCCCCCTTATATCTATATAATCATATGTAACTTGTAATAAAAAAATACGCCAATTTACTGGCACACCTACCCTGTTTTTGAAACATAAATTAACCTTAAACATATTTACAATTTATTTTGGCCTGATTAAGATTAACAAATTAAAGGAAAAATCTATAAACTTCAGCATTAATGCAAAACCTTCTAAGAAGTCCAGGCTGCAAAACAAGTTTCATATTTTAAAAAAGAACATCATCTCAATAGGCAAATATTGATCTTTTACCTAAGACAGACAAAAGACTGTATCACTAAAAGGTGAAATATGCAAAGACCAATGAATGAATAATTCATCAACACTGTATTAATGACATTAAAGCATAGGCTAATGAAAAGAAACTTGAGTCTTCTTGCTAAAATCTAAATTGTTACGAGACAAATTTTAACATTCCATGGAAGAAACATTATCTGCTTGTCACAAAAAGACATTTATAAAGTTATCACAAGATTTATCTAGCAACTATCCAAATCTATCAAAGATGTTGATGATGATGAATTCTGTCTTTGAAATCGGTGGCAATTATTACATGCATTTCAGAACAAGCATATGACTGAACCTAAATGTGATGACGTCGGGGACAGAATCTTACATCCCTTCGTCTTGCTTCCACAACATAAACTTTGCATGCTAGACAAAAGAAATGATGCATAACCAACTGTTTCAAATATCATTTCATTAAATGTAGAGAATATGTTTTACAGATTTTGCAATTTTCACACCCAATGTATATGCATGTAATTTTCTAAATTTCATGAATTAGTGACGTGCACATCAAAGGATAAGAAAGAAATTTGTACCAAGTAATCAAAATGTCTCGTTCAATTTTGTTGTACTGTATGGCTGCTGTCTCATTGACAATTACCACACATCTACTTTTCTTCATTTCATAAACTTGTTTTTATTATTTACTTTTACAAATCTGAACTAAGATCATAATTTACTAACAAGAGAATGACCAATTAAAGAACCAATGGGAGTGCTCAGTTTAAACATCTGGCTGACAAAAGGTGATCTGGTGGCCATTTTCTGCCTCACCAGGTGCATTTTGTTGATTTGAATAGATTTTTACTTCTAATTAATAGAAGACCACTGACAAGCTAATGGCAGTTCACAAAAGATCACATATACAATCATACATTTTATTAAATAATTTGCCATGTATGAAGACATGTCTTTATCATGAAAACTGGATTCTTGGAGATGATTAATAAATAATTAAAGGCTTCAGGTTCAAGTTTAAAAATAAAGATAGAGAGGAAGCTATTATTCTCTGATTATATTCCATATAATATACCTGGATAAATCTATGAGATAAGTAACCATGACAACAAATCTATACAGATCAACGATCACTAGTTAAAAAAAAACACTGGTGGAATTCAAGACAGGAGATGAAAAATTCATGAACTGTTGAAATATAAATATCCTTCATAGTTAATGTCACTATATCAGATTTTTTGTCAAAGTTATCCTGTTCATGTTGGAACAAGCAAAATCAATGTAAACTCTGGGGATATTGTTTCTAATCTTAATGGAATGCAGTCAATGATCAAGCAGTTTAATCTGAGACATTTCAATTTAAGAGAAAGCAATTCATTAAATTTTTTCTAGAAGTAAAGGGAATATTTCAAAACTTATAAAATGTTGACTAACTCGTTGATCTCAATAGCATCTCTTTTGCTTCAAAGTTTCCTGTCAAATCTTCTTTATTTAACAAACAAAATAAAACACATCTGTCAAGGGCAATAACTCTTGTAAGATGTCAATTGACCATTTCAGCCGTGTTGACTTACTGATAAAAATAAAGAAATTATTTTGTTGAACATTTTTGCTACAAGTATCAGGGCTCACACCATCAGGCAACAAAGTTTCTTTCAGTGATATTGATATATATAATACTTTCTTTTCCTTTTTCTATAAAAAAAAAGTTCTTTTAAGTGCTTGATATTTAGTTGGTAGTTTCCAACAAAAGAGAAAAAATATAATTGTGTAACTATAAATGATTATTTAAGGCATAAACTGAAACAACTGTTATTTTAATTGTATTCTCAGGTATGAATTGAACATGTACAATAAAAAATAAAATGCTCCGCTGGGCGCAGCTTGATACTACCGCAGAGGTCGAACCATGAACAGTTGGGGCAAGTATGGACACAACATTCAAGCTTGATACAGCTTTGCATTTGGATTGTGATTAAATATTTGACACAGCATAAATTTCTGACACAGAAGGAATGTGGTCTAAGAACTTAAAAATTTCAAATTGGACATTCACCTATTATGGTCCAATATCCAAAATCTAAATACATGGTTAGATTCAGCATATCAAAGAACCCCAAGAATTCAATTTTTGATGAAATCAAACAAAGTTTAATTTTGGACCCTTTTGACCGCAATGTGGACAAAGTTGATAACGGGGCCCAAAAATCAAAAATCTAAATACATGGTTAGCTTCAGCATATCAAAGAACCCCATATATTTAATTTTTGTTGAAATCAAACAAAATTTAATTTTGGACCCAGATTTGGACCAACTTGAAAACTGGGCCCATAATCAAAAATCTAAATACATGTTTAATTCAGCATATCAAAGAACCCTAAGAATTCAATTTTTGTTAAAATCAAACTAAGTTTAATTTTGGACCCTTTGGACCTCAATGTGGACCAATTTAAAAACTGGACCCAAAATCCAAAAACTAATAAATACACGGTAAGATTCAGCATATTAAAGAACCCCAAGAATTCAAGAATAAAACCCCATTGAAATTGGTCAAGAAATAAGCAATTTATAGGAAGTATCTTCTTTTGCACAATACTGTGCAATTAAATATTTCTTGCTATTGCGCAATACTGTACAATTGACAATTTCTTGCTATTGCGCAATATTGTGCTATTGGATATTTCTTGCTATTGCGCAATACTGTGCAATTGAAGATTTCTTGCTATTGCGCAATACTGTGCAATTGAAGATTTCTTGCTATTGTGCAATACTGTGCAATTGAAAATTTCTTGCTATTGCACAATACTTTTTATATAATAATTTACACATCCTGTTTGGTGTGTATCTCCTACCATATCATTATTATTTGCTTTTAAATATTAATCAGAAATAACCAACTTAAAATGGAAAATTTTAAAAGAAAAAAAAAGAAAAAAAAGAAAAAAAAGGAAAAAAAAAAAAATCCCCCCCCCCAAATTTTTTGAACCCCCTTATGATTCATCACCCCTAAACTCAATCCCAGCCTTCCCTTTGTGGTATGGTACCTTGCAGTACAATTTCAGAGAGATCCATACACTTGAACACAAGTTATTGTATGAGATCCATACACTTGAACACAAGTTATTGTCTGGAAACTAGAAAAATGCTTATTTTTGGCCCCTTTTTGGCCCCCAATTCCTAAACGTTTCGGCAATTACCCCCAAACTCAATTCCAGCTTTCCCTTTGTGATATGGAACCTTGTAGTACAATTTCAGAAAGATCCATACACTAACACACAAGTTATTGTCATGAAACTAGAAAAATGCTTGTTTTTTGCCCCTTTTTTGGCCCCTAATTCCTAAAATTTTGAGGCAATTACCCCCAAAATCAATCCCAGCATTCCTTTTGTGATATGGAACCTTGTGGTACAATGTCAGAGAGATCCATACACTAACACACAAGTTATGTCTGGAAGTTACAAAAATGCTTATTTTTGGCCCCTTTTTGGCCCCTTATTCCTTTACTGTTGGTACCATAACCCCCAAAATCAATCCCAACCTTCCTTTTGTGGTATTGAACCTTGTGGTAAAATTTCATAGAGATCCGTGCACTTAAACTAAAGTTACGTGCGAAAACCAATGTGTCTTTGGACGACGCCGGACGACGACGACGACGACGCCAACGTCATACCAATATACGACCACAAAAATCGACCACAAAAATTTTTTTGCGGTCGTATAAAAACCACATGTTCATAAATAAAAAACTTTTATTCTCTATGAAAAGAGATCAAAATCGATTTTTGAAATTCACTATCAGTTCTCGACATATCGCCATCTTGTCGGCATGTTCGATCTAAAAAGTCATGTGATATCTAAAAACCACAAATACCAAAATGAATCGGGGATTTACCGACCGTGCTTTAAAAACTCCCATCATCAATCGGGGATTACCGTAGACGATCACTCAGTGTGAAAATGTCTTGTCAAGCGTACGGCTGTTCTGTCCGACAAGGTTATGACAAAAGTCTAAATAGTTTTCCCAAACCCACAAAAAAAGAAAGAATTGTATCAGACATGTTTGTACAACCTTAAACTAACAGCAAATAGTTGCATCTATAGCAAGCACAAGTTGATGTGTGAAGACCATTTTGAACAATCTTGTTTCGAGGGAGATTTGGTGGTAATTATACTTTTTTAAATAACAATATAACCTAGCAGTTCTG